TGGAGGTGTAGAGGGGGCGGGAGTGGAGGAGGGAGAGTAAGTAACATTCTCAATAGCTCTCATTTTTTAACATATTGTGGGTGCTTTGTCCTTAATAATATATATCGACCTCCGCACCGCTCCAGCAGCCTACTTTATGATAAGCTCGATCTAAGGTCTCATCGCTGAGTCGCGGTTATATCTGGTCAGGCTTAATGTCTTTGTTTATATCATCTTTCTAAATGCCTACTCATTTACGTAAACGAAGACAGTAATTCAGGTGGCAGAGTTCCAATAAAGAGAGGTATTATCGTTTGTGAAGGAAAAGTTTTGGTTGGGTTATTTTTGGTGTAGACTTTTTTGCTTTCCTTACGCGTTTGTTGTTGAAGTTGTTTGTCGTTATGTTGTTGTTGTTGTTGTTGTTGTTGTTGTTGTTGTTGTTATTGTTGTTATTGTTGTTGTTGTTGTTGTTGTTGCTGTTGTTGTTGCGGTTTTGTTGTTGTTGCTGCTGCTGCTGCTGGTGGTGGTGATGATATTGTATTTATTTGTTGTTTTTTGTTTTTGACTGTTGTTGTTGTTGTTGTTATTGTTATTGTTATTGCTGTGGTTATTGTTATTGTTGTTATTTCATTGTATTACCATTTTTCTCGTTTTGTCGACGCTTATCGCTCCACTGGAGATGGTGCATGGCATTTTGAACATCAGTCTCTTTTTCTCACGCTAGACTTTGAGTGCAGAGGAAAGGATACTATTCCTGATCATATCAACTAGATAGGACTCAACTTTGATTTAAACTGTCGTTCAACTGAGATACAAAGATGACTAAGCCAGTCCACACATTTGTGTTGTATTAAAAATAACAACAACAACTGTTATAACAGACAGACAGACAGACAGACAGACAGACAGACAGACAGACAGACAGACAGACAGACAGACAGACAGACAGACAGGCAGATAGACAGACAGACAAGCAGACAGACAGACAGACAGACTGACAAACAGACAGACAGTTCCTTGTACAGGCGTTCTTCTTTCAGAAAGTCCGTTTTATCTCTAAATAGCCGAATTCGAAGGAAAATGCAGCCTTAATGAAACGTATAAAAACCAAATACGTTTTCGTCCTATTAATTTTCTCACCCAAAATTTAACCCCCACAGCGAAACAATAAGAAGACGGCAATCAGACAACCAAAAGTACCACAATCGCTATGTCGGCATCTTTGCCTTTCATGTCCTATATCAAAAAGCGGCGGTTTCTTTGATGTTTGGTCAGAAGCCGGCTTCCTTTACCTCTCTGCAGACCACGAAGTCCTATCACACGCACGACATCATGCGCTGACCACTGACCGCTAAGCCTTCGGGCAAACAGACAGATAAGACTGAACATTGTCTTCACAGTAATATGAAGCAAAAAACATAAAACATAAACTAGTAATCTCTTAATAGACCGCCGGCTTTTGATCGTGGAAGACTGGCAGTAAAAACAATAACTTGGTTGCACCTCAGAGAATTCTCCTGCGGTTGTAAGTGGTGGTATTTGACATTCTGGAGTATGCCTTAACTGTAGGTACTAGTTAATATGACATGCCGCCCCCACATACTCTCCCCCACTGTGTTCCTTTCTATCTAATCTCCGAAGACGGACGCCTTGTGTGTTGGGGAGAAAATCAGGTAATCCCAAACCATAACATGGACGTGTGTAACTGCTCTGGAACTGGAAACTGTCTGGACTTTTGGTTGGGGTATGGTGGACTGGAAGAAACAGAGTTGGTAGAATAGTTACTGAATGTTTCTATCTGTGCCATCGGTCAACTTTCTTGTTAAGTTTGTAAAATAATAACAATAGTAATAATAATGTTGAAAGGCGTGGTAATCAGATTTTTCCTTAGTGTGTACTGCGTCCCATGGGGTCTTTGAAACAAAACTGCAGACTTTAGCTTTCTGGCTTATCGTCTAATACGATTATGTAGACAATTTTTACTATCAGCATCTATCTTAGTGTCTACTGGTGGCTGTGGTTTATTGGTTAGGCTCTTTGCCTAATTAGTAATCTTGAAGATGCATGATATTATAATCTTCCCACGCTTTGGAAATGATTTAAGATCAATATTTATCGGAATGGAAGAATTTGACATATTATATAGTTTTGAAAGGTTATTAGGTGTATTTACATTTAAATCCTATCTAGAGTGTCATTGAAAGCTATTCCGTATGTTCTTCAGAGAATCTCCACTAGAAAGAATACATATTCACATTTTCTCAAAAATAGATTTATTTGAAACAAAATAAAACAATAGCAGCATAAAAACTCAACAAAAAAGAAAACAACATTATATATCGACCTACTTTTAGTAAGCTGGATATGTGTGGTATTTTGTAGACTTTTTTTTGGGGGGGGGGAGGGGCATCTCGTTTACGCCTTCCTCGACGGAACTTACAACACTTTTGAGGCTAGCTACTACAAACCTTTCAGAACGGACCACATCTCGTAGTGAAAAAAGTCGTCCTGGTACAAAAGATAGAAAAATTAGATATTATTTTTTATGTCACGTTTTCCTAAGGAATTAAACCCAAAGGGTCTTTTTTGCGTGCAAAGACAAAATAGCTTGTAAAAAGACAGACACCTGAGCCTTCAGTGTGCTTTGACAGAAGAATTGTTTTTATCTTGCAGTTTTAAACGATGGGAATTTTAGAAATTGGGAGAATGCTGTTGCGTGAAACTATTTCACACTTTGCTTTTATTTCCAGGAAATTCCCAGAAAATTGATCAGACAATTCAAAAATAATTATTGCTTTCGCATACACCAAAACATATATTATAAAAGTAATATTAACTTCAAATATGAAACAAAAAAGAAGACACCCCAAAACCGAAACACTCCTTATCACAAACAACAGAAGCGACAACCAAAAAACAACAACAACTAAACCAACAACAAAACACCAACGACAATAACAGGGGCATCAGCAGCACAAGCAGCAACAACAATATCAACAACAGCAACAACAGCAGAAACAGTACCGGTAAGGAAATTTCCCCAATTTATAATAAAGGAGGTCAAACCGAACATAATATTAAGCGACAGTTTTCATTGCCAAACAAATAAAACCAAAGTTTAAAGCGACAGAATGCATGTTTTACGAATTTGTTCAACACTTGCCTTCCACTCACAGCAATGTGTTTTTAACGTTTTCAATGTGTCTAAATACAACTCTGACGGAGTCTGTTAGTTGCTCGTGCTCTTAACCCTCTCTGTTTCAGTTTAAACTCCACAAAGTTGACTAGCTTACATCTTCGTTTTCATAAAGTTTTCGGGGTCAAAAAGCAGAATCAGTTTGATGTTCTCTCGTTTACCGCATGCCGTTCGCTACGGCAGTTTTATCGGTCTGTGAGCGGCAGTTAAAGGAGGTCATTAGCAAAACATTCACCCTCACCCCTCCTCGAAACATCAACCCAAAAATAGCATAATAAGTTATACTGGTTGAGATGCCCAATAATGTTTCAAAAGTTAGATTATTTCAATATGGCAAATGATTTTCTGTTTCATCATTATGATAAACAAATTCTTAATTTCTGTTTGCGATGGCTATCTCTCGGATTTTTTTTCAGGTAAGCTTTACGAACATGCGGCTGTGCGTAGACGGCGCACATGATACGGCCGAGCAGATGGCGGACATACCTGATAAAGTCGCATGTGGCCATCGAATTTCGATTTTTTTTAGCTTTACAGTAAAAAGACAAGAGCTCTTTGGTTGCAAAAAATAAAATAATTGCTTTTATGAACTTCGGATGCAAAAAAAAGAGGGAGGGGAAAGGGGGATAGGGTGATTAATCAGATTCAAATTTACTGAATCCTGAGTCGTTATTATTATTATTATTATTATTATTATTATTATTTTTGTTATTATTACTATTATTATTGTTGTTGGTATTCTTATTCTTATTGTTATTCTTATTGTTATTCTTTTTATTATTATCATTGTTATAATTATTATCATTATTATCCTTTTATTGTTATTTTTTTACATGTATTATTTTTATTATTATTATTATTATTATTATTATTATTATTATTACTACTATTATTATTATTATAGTAACATTTACAAAGTGCATTTTATCCACACTCTTTAGCATACTTAGTGCGCACCCCTGCTAAAAAAGTACCCATGACATATATACACGTATTATCTGAGAGGAATAATTACACTTAAAATGATATAATTATAATATTTAATTTTTCTTTTCCATTTTTTTTTCGTCTGCCCTAGGTTTATCAGCCAGCTAAACATCCATGCCCTGGGCGCTGGTGTGGTGTGTGACAACATCCCCGGTCTCGTGGGCAGACAGCGCAGGCTATGTCGTCATCACCCTGACGTCATGGTGCCACTGAGCGAAGGCGTACGCCTCGGAGTGGAAGAGTGCCAGTTCCATTTCCGGAACCAGAGGTGGAACTGTAGCACGCTGGAGAGGGATACCTCCTTGTTTGGGAAGGTCATGCTAAGAGGTGAGGGGTCCGGTTGTTGGGAAATGTGGAGATTGAGAAGGAGATTAATAGAAAGAGGGAAGGAGGGAGTGATATATATATATATATATATATATATATATATATATATATATATATATATATATATATATATATATATATATATAGAGAGAGAGAAAGAGAGAGAGAAGGGGGCGGGGGAGAGAAAAAGAAGGGGAGAGACGGGGAGAGAGAGGGAGCGAGAATGGGTGAGAAAGGAAGGGAGAGAGAGAGAGAGAGAGAGAGAGAGAGAGAGAGAGAGAGAGAGAGAGAGAGAGAGAGAGAGAGATAGACAGACAGACAGAGTGAGAGAGAAAGAGAGAGAGAGCGAAAGAGAGAGGGAGAGAGAAAGAGAGAGAGAGAGAGAGAGAGAGAGAGAGAGAGAGAGAGAGAGAGAAGGGACGAGGGGGGGGGGGTTAAAGAGAGCAAGAGAAAGAGATAGATTACAAGACATTAATGGATATGGAAGTTAAACAAACAGGATAGTGATACATGTATGTCCTTTTTAAAAGATTTCTGTGATCTTAGTTTTCAGGATAACTATCTTTCAACGTAAGTGGCACGGCATTAAAAAGTAAAGATGTTCCCGCATCCGATCCGGACTTTGGGGATTGCCTTCCCAGCGAGACAACTTCCTGTGCCTTCGGCATATTGTGGTAGAGGGGCCAGTTCCTTTCCGCAACGCCTTTACTTCCCCAACTCGAAGACACAACTCGAAGACAGGTACCCATTACTGCCGATGGGCAGGAGGGGGCGAAAAAAATCCGTGTCCGAACCGAGGCTCGAACCCAGTCTTTCCGCTTCGGAGACGAGAGCACTAACCGCTACGCCCACACACCCTCACGGCATTAAGCACCTTAAAAAGCAGCTCTTTCCTGGGAATTCTGATATAGTTGCACGAAATGCCGTAGAAAAGTGCACAGCCTTACGATTTAAATCGGCATTATGTGTTTCTTTTTTCAGGCAGTCGCGAAGCTGCCTTTGTGTACAGCATCTCTTCCGCTGGCGTGGTCCACGCCATCACCCGTTCTTGCAGTCGTGGCCAGCTCATGCACTGCGCCTGCGACCCCACCAAAAGAGGATCTGGCAGAGACAAGAGAGGTGCCTTTGACTGGGGAGGATGTTCAGATAATGTTCGCTACGGCAGTACTTTCTCCAGGATGTTCATCGACGCTAAGGAACGCAAGCAGAGAGACGGGAGGGCTATGATGAACTTACACAACAACAGAGCCGGCCGAAGGGTGAGTGTGAATGCAGCTCCTGAAGAAAGTATGAAAATCATTCTAGTTGTTTTTACCCTTGCCCCCCCCCCCCCCCTCAACGCCTTTCATTCAATATGACATAGGCTGCTTGACCTGCGTGTTTTCAAAACTTTGACCTCCCCTGCACTCTCAAACTGTTTTTATTTCCCTCAGCCACTCAAACTTGCTGGGTAAAGTCAAGGAAACCAAAAATCATTTCTCCAGTGATTAAAAAAACACATCTGAGTGTGCAGAACTATGGCAAGTAAATAAAAAGCAGACCAGATGCTTACATATTATTGAGTAGATTGTCTTCCGTTAAGATGTGCTAGGGTTACGTAGCAAAACGTAGTCATTTGGAATTGACCTACCTTGATTACGCATGATGTTTACAAATGAATAAAACCCATTAAAAAAAACAGATTTGTTTATCTTAAAATGTTATTGAACCCAATGTGTTCAAGTTCTTGCACCAGCAAAACTTTATGATTTATTTTGTTCGATGTGGACACAGCAGTTGTAGTGTAATTTTATAGCCAATGACGTATTAATTGAGACGTCGCTACTACTAACTGGGGTTTGGGGTGGGGGTGGGGGGATTACCGGTGTGATAAAGAGTTGGGAGTGTAAGGGGACAAGGCAATGTGGTGAGAGTCTTGGGGTAGAGAATGAGAGGATGGGTTGAGGAAAGGCTGAGGACGTTGGGGGGGCGGGAGTGGGAAGGGTGGAGGGTAAGGGAGGATGGGTTGTTGGTGGGTGAGAGGGGTGGTAGAGTATATGGGGTACATATCATTGGATTTCGCTTATTTGTATAGTCCAACCACGCAGATCGACTCGGAGCATTCAGTGACAGGATTACAGTGACAGAACTCACTTATGTAGCATACAAATTAAAAGCTAAATAAATTCCATTCTGCATCATCTGACTCTGACACATTAGAAATACATGAAAATTATTATTATGTACGTAAAGAATCGCTCGAAATACGGTCACTCAAAGTTCACAGAAGCGTGGTCTAGGAGACGTGAGTCCAACGTTTGCGTAGTGTGGAGGGGTTAAAGATGGGTCAGTTATTCAATGCTGCTCAAGACAACTCTGAAAACTATACGACTCTTTCAGTTACCAAAAGCGTGGGAGGATTCAGGGAAAAAACAGCGAAAAAAAAATTGAAAAAAATAAAAAAAATAAAAGATAGCGTGCCATGGGAATAATAAGCGTGGAGCAGACAGCAACAATCAGACTAACTTCATAATTAACCCCCACTGAGCAAATCGGTGCGAAAAACATTTCCGACGCAATGCTGAAAAAGCGAGATATTATTTTCTGTTTACATCTTATTCCATGACATCTCTACACGGGCATTAACAATATTTTGAAAACCCGCCCTCCAGCGAGCGTTTGACGTCGGGGCTACAATATAAAAGCCGCGGGTATCTACTTGGCCTGCCCTGCGGGTTATCAAGGGAAAAAATACACCTACGTTCAATGACAAAAGATTTGAAAGACGTCATTTTGATATACTTTCATCATGACAACAGAGTTTAATTTCAGTAATCTTTTGACATCCAATAAACAATAGAATGAAGCTAACTCTTTAGAGATGCAAAAGTTTGAGCAGTACAAAGAATGAATTGTCTGTCATAATATAGAGAAGAAAAAAAAAACTCACGTGTTTGACATGTATATTGATTTGTAAACATTAAACACTCGGAGAAATTATAATGTCATCCCTACTTCGTTGGAAACACGGGGAGTGCTAGCCAAAATTTATTCTAATCTTGCAAGATATTGGCTTAAGAAAGACAGGTGGATGGCGAAGAAGATGGGGGTCACAGAGGTGAGAGTGGGTGGGGTAGGGAGGGAGGGGTAGGACGGGTACGGGTAGTTTGTAACAAGGTTAACCCGTACACCCGTATCTTTTTTAGGCATTTTGCCAAGATTGAAAGAAGCTAGGCATGCACTTTGTTAGTGGTTTCAGCATTAAGAGCCAGTTTCCACTCAATGTAATTTATAAAGGGCATGGCAGATGAGAAAGAGTGTCTCGTGTGGCCCGTCTGCCACAGTAAGAAGAAGGAATCACCTGTTTATAAATACAACATTGATTTGTCTCCCTTTGCATAGGTCTGAAACATGTCATTGTTCGCAAGCGCGACCCCCTCCCCCTCCTCTCTCTCTCTCTCTCTCTCTCTCTCTCTCTTACTGTTTATCT